TATCGCACCGTCGACGCGAGTGCGCGCGCGTCATTTTCCCGCCCTTTTTTCCGAAGTCGTTTCGTTTCCTTAAAATCTGTTGCTAAAAATCAGCCAATTTTGTTTTGAGTGATTCTTCTTCTRTTGCAAATTTAGTTTTATTTCGTGATACTTTTACATTGAAATACTTTAAAATTAGTACTTGTCAAATGTTTCAAATCTGTGGAAAAATACTCAATGAAAACTGTTACTTTGATTCTTAGTGGTAAGGTTCCATGCGCAATTCATGATCATTGCAGAATATGCTGTRGAGTGCCTCAAAGCTGCACATTACTGTAGCCGTTATCATTTTGGTCCACTTCCATGATTACCTTAGAAAGAAAGAAAACAATAGGAAAGAAAAAATATAGATATTGAGCTCAAAARGCTCACAGACCAARATATAAATTMATATTTTGCTAGAAAACAGTTTATGCACCACATGTAACTTGTTTTTGTGAGACTGATATATYATTACACAAATATTTGCGAGATTGTCGCCGTCTMAGAGGTAGCCGAAAGCTACTCCGTGAACTGCGGAAACCAATTCCTTAAACCGTCACTCAACTTTCAATTAGGTACATTTTATCRAGAAAAACACATCACAAGACGATACAACTGACTACTGAGACAACAAAGAGATCATTTGAAATCTCGATTATCAATAAAACACATGGTCTCTACACCYCGTGACAATAGGCCGTCATCATGACAACATTATGACCAAGAGAAATATTTGAACATCCAAGGGAAGTGTTTTTTTTTGTTACTGATTGATCACAAACCGCGGGTCTTAATTGTTTTTAATAGTATACTGGTACTAAAACGGTAAAGAACTTTGTAAAACTAAGTTTGTGCGACGTATCGTCGGCTACTGGTATCTCTTTGTCTTGAACTCGAACTAACTCGAAATCTCTCAGTTAATCTCACAAAATATGTGCATTGTTCAACACTTGTCACAGATAATCGCGATAATTGAAGAGAAAATTTACTGTAGTTCAGAAAACAGAAACCTTGGCTGCGCTCCCATGCGAGTTTTTCGACACACCTTACAGCACATTTTCTGTAAAAAATTTTTTTTTTTTGAACTTGAAATCTTGAATTTTTAACTTTTTTCCGTCTTCATCTTTGATTTAATSTAGATAAGAACCGGATGACATTTTCTACAATATTTGACTATAAATCGTTCAAAATACCGTGTTGGACCGTGTTGTGTAAAGTAAGAGAGTTTTGGAGTCCCTGTGCCTTTTCTGWTGTGGACTGAAATCTAGTTTGAGTCTCCATGCCAACAACAGTCCAATATGGCGGATTCGTGTTGTGSTCAGAGTGACTTTTTGCTGCAATTATGACTTTTGTTTTGAGGTTTTTGACTTCCTTAAGTACAATATGACTTCTCTGAAGTCTTGTGATCCYGCACTTCGACGATATCTTTTGATACATCGTCTTCCTGATGTTTTTGAGGTAAGTTTGTTTGCGTTGTAGTCGAATTCTGAAGTTATCAGCTGAAAAACTCGTCTCGCATAATTGAACAATAAAAACATCAATTCAGTTTATCAAAATCAATGCTATATTTCATTATTCTAAGCTAGAAATGCAGTAGAAATGAAGTAATTTTCAGAGCATGAAACGTTATCAGTAAAAAGTAAAAAAGACTCATTGCTTATCTGGCGATGGGACCTTTTTGTTTTGATTTGTTTAAGTTAAATTAAGTATTTTATATGAACAAGCCAAAATTATGAATCTTGAAGATTWAYWAGYGCTAAMATTTTTCGCTACAGGCTATTTTAACAGCWTTAGCCATCAACTGTCCCAAAGACCCTMAAGAATTTATCCTTGAGAAACTCAACTTACTTTTGTCAGATGAAGACCTGTTTGAAGACCTTAGATGGTTTGTRTTACGATAAATGTTATTGTGAAATAATAATATGGCTTCAGCTTCTATAATAATCTTGTCATTGTAATTCAAAGGGATACATTTATTGATAAAAAGCTTGCACCAAAGACCATCAGAATTAGACCTAAGGAATTTGATTTCCTGTGGTCGTATGAAGATGAAAATTCCCAGGTACAAAACAATC